CTTCAGATGCAGGGACAGGAGGGTCCTCAGAGTGGGGGGGGAGAGACCCCTGAGCTTTTCCTGAGTGTCACCATGGTCACAGCTGTGGAAATCACGCATAGAAGGCTGACTCCAAGCCTCACTTCCTTCAGCTGCAGAATGAACAAGTCAGGCGCCCCCGGGGGACCCTAAGATCACAGATCTGTGCTGCTTCTTTAGTGTCATCCCCTGCCTGCCTCCCACGTAACTTCTATACTTCACCCATCTAGGAATTCTGCTGGCATTTCCTTACATGGAAGCCTCACCTCATTGTTCTGTCTGTTGGTTCTCAGGTGCTATCTGAATCCATCAGTCCTTGCAAGGGGACTCCAGTCTTCCTGTCGGCTGATCCTGAGATCAGCATTTGTGCTCAGAGCATTTGTTGACTGACAGGATGAGGCCTGGATTCCTTAACTTCCTCAGTGCCCTCTGAGCCAACCCCAACCCAGGCCCTGGGGATATGGCACAAGATGACATCAGCTGGGTCCCTGCTCTTAGTCTGGACGTTTTTGTTGGGAAAACAAACTATTACTATAGACAGATGTCTGTGTGAGGGGACTAGAGGATCTGGTAAGAAAACACCTAGATGCTTCTTTGGTTAGGTGGTCAGAAGTCATTTTTAGCAGGAAACTGTAGTTGACATCTAAGTAGCCCACAAGTGGCCAGTCTGCAGAGGATGAATGAGGAACATAGTAGCACAGGTAAGGGAATTCCCCAACATGGATGTATGAATGGAGCTTATTACTGGGGTATATAGGGAATGATTTGACATGAGCTCTAAGAGAAGGATGGGGGTCTTTAAAACCTTTCCAATAAATCCCTACTCTTTTGTTGTTTCTGTCTGGAAGAAGTCCTGTGGTCCCCTTAGCGCTAGTGGTCTTCCACCTTCCAGTCTATCGTCAGGTTCTATACTGCCTCTGTGTCTCTCCTGCTTCTCCACCTTCCCCAAGTCAGTTAGGGACTCCCTGTGCTCCTGACCACACGCCTGTGTATGGTGCCCCCTGTAGGATGCTCTGGGGTCCTGGGTGTGCCTAAGTTGTTACTTTCATAGAATGAAGAAAGCAGCAATTTTTCTAACTGGCATGGCTTGCCCTTGGCCTTGCTTTGTGACTTGTTTTGGAGTTGGTGGGTTCTCCTATTCCACGACATGGGCAGGGCTGGTTGGTACTGCTCCTGGGCTCATTTCTAGGCGTGTCCGAATCTGTACTTTTGGATCAAAGGTTCTTACCAGGTTCTTGTTAAACTAATGTCAAAGAGAGAGAACTAACGAGGAGACAGAAACTAGGGGTACAGGTGCCGCTTGAAAAGCCTCCATGTGTACTTCCAGTACAGAAAACCGAGCAATTCCCAACTTATTTGGAACTGGAAGGTTTGTGTTTTGGTCCATAGAACATTGTTAACTATTAATTGAAAAATTTGGTAGGTCTGTGGTCAGTGGATGTTAGGTCCTTGCTTTTCCTGATGGCTTGAGCTCTTGCCTACTCTGTCTTTATAGACATTCCGATGGGGTAGGCTGAGCAGGAAGTCTTAGCCACAGGCCATTTTGACATCATGCACCTTTCACAGTCCAAACACAACCTCCTATTTCTTCATTTGGGGACACTCCAAGACCTATGTGAATCCTTTCTAGGACATCCAGTTTGTCAAGACTCTCACTTATCCAAGTCTATGCCAAGTCAGAATTCTAGAGATCTCATGTTCAAGTCTAAGCAACCAGAAAGTCCTCCAAACCTAAGAGTAGTGATCTGGATCAAACAGCAATTCAACTCAACTTGGGCTCCCAGGGTTCCTGGTAGGCTAGGTCTGCAAGTACATGTTTACTGGGTCTTCATGACTTTGTAAAATGAATAGCACCACTATGGTCACATCTGCACTGGCTTTACAGTTGCTTTCTCTGTTCTTTACTACTTGGAATGGGATGAGAGGTACTGTTTTACCAGTACTGGGAATTGAATTCAAGGCCTCATGCTTGCTAAGCAAGTATTCTATCACCTGAGTCAAGCCCCTAGTCCTTTGGCTTTTAGTTTGTTTTTTGAGATACGGCCTCACACTTTTGCCTGGGCTGGCCTTGAAACCATGATCTCCTACCTCTGCCTCCTATGTAGCTGGGATTACAGGCGTGCACCACTACACATGGCCCTCAGAGATGCTTTTCTAAGAAAAAACATTCACTGAGTACTTTCACTGAGACTTGCAGTCATTGCGAAACTGAACATTTATTATTCCCTGGGCATTGAAGTTCTCATGGCTATGGCACAGTGGAGAGAGTGGGGAACTTGAAACAGCAGCCTTGGGCTCACGCTCCTCAATCCCTTGGCCAGTCACCCAGCTCTCCAGAGACTGTGTTGGCTACAAACAAGCATGATCGTGAGGTAGAAACACTTTTTAGCTCCCACTATGCGCCAGGATTTTACTAAGGTGATTATACTGTCCATATCTTTCATTTCATTATCATACAACACTCCAAAGTAGGTATCATTGGGTCCATCTTGCAGAAGGAGAGAACCAGGCTCAGAGAGGTTAAGTGACTTGTCTAAGACCACACAGATTGTTAAGTGACAGAAACACCCTTGAGTCATGCCTACAGGCGTAATAACTCTTCCACTAACACTAATTGCTGCTTCCTGTCTTAAACAATTTACTTCCACCAAATGTCTTGTATTAGAAGGCACTGGTGCCTCCTATGGTGTTATAAGAATAAAAGAATTAATCCAGCATTTCCCACGGGAGCCCAGTTGTGGGTTGCCCTGTTGGAGATGGTGCTGGAGAGAGTATATACACAATCCTTTGTGCACCATGAGTGTGATGCTGTGAAAACCCAGCATTCATGTTTAGAGAGCACCTTTAATAAGGAAATTTGCACGACGCTTTGCAGCTCTGGCTTCAGACTCTGCAGACAGCTTTGTTTGAGGGAGGACCAGGAACCATGGGTGCCTCCAGTGTTAACAGCTCCCATTCCTTTCCCAGTCTACTCGCTTGGGAGAACATCCAGCTTGGAGGGGATTAGCATTTTAATGAACAAAACAGTTGGAAAGGCTGGTGTGGATTTTTAAAGCCCTTCGTGTGTAGAGAAGGAACAAGAATTCTATGACTACATTTGTCATTTGCCGAAAACACTGTCCCAGTTTCCCTTTTTTCTTTCTGAAACTCTGGCAAGGACCCATTTTCTTGCTGGGACCTCTGGTCACTCTATTGCCAGTTCTTGCTCCAAAGAAAAGGTGTCTCCCAGGAGGAACAATCCAGTCTGCCCAGAAAAGGGAGTTTGGGTGGTGATGGGGGTTGTTGCAACCCCAAAAGTGGCATTAGGCCTAACCCCTAGCACTCACGATGTGACCTTACTTGGAAATAGTGTGCTATTGTGTAATTAGATAAATTAAGAAGAGGTCAGAATAGAATGAAGGGAACCCCTTATTGCATGTGACAGGTGTCCTTAGAAGAAGAGGAGAGACACCGACTTGCAGGCCATCATGTGACAATAGAGGCAGACATTGGAGAGAGGGAACCACAAGAATGGAACACCAAGGTTTGCCTGTCAGAAACTAGAAGAAGCAAGGAAGGATCCTCCCAGAGGTTTTGGAGAGCCAATGACTGGATTTCAGATCTGTAGCCTCTGGAATGGTGAGAGAGTAACTGTAACTGTGGCCTGTTTTAAGCCACATGGTTTGTGTCACTCTGTTATGGCAGCCATAAGAAACTGATCCAGCTGGGCCATGCTTGCTCCGTCTTTCAGAGTTTGGCCACAGCTTCCTAGAATTCAGATACACATTGATCTCATTGGGGCTCTGAGACTAAGTCTGATACAATTGATACTTCGATGGATGCTTGATCTTGACAAGACAACAAGCACTCAAATGAACCACCACACAAATAAATAGCTTAAAATTTAAATACAGAATTACAATCTCCATTTGGGAGCCTATAGCATTCCTTTAAATTAACTAAATTTGTTTACTATTTTTTCAAAAGATAATAGTTATCTGCATGGTAGGACCATGACAAATCCTTCCTTTCTTCCTTCCTTCCCGCCCCTTTTCTTTCTCTCTCTCTTTTTTTGGTGGTGCTGCTGTTGGAATTGAACCCAAGGCCTCACACATACTAGGTAAGTGCTCTACCATAAAGCTGCACCCCACCCCCAAGAGATTCTTTCCTTTCATTACTTTGAACAACATTTTTGTTTTTCACTTGTAGTTTTCAGAAACAATGTAAGATTCTGTGTACCACCCTCAGCAGCCATATGAAGTGGGGCCTGGCCCTGTGTGGCAGTCCTGGGTCGGAGGCTTACAGTGACACAGACTGGGCCTGCCCTGGTGAAAAGAATGTGGCTACACTTCTTGTGCAATGCCGTGCTGGTCAGAGTGAGTCTGGACCGTGTGCTCTGTGGCAGTTGCCTGGTCAGCCACACAGCCATCTATCCACCAACTGCCCTGGCCACTGAAGGTCAGGTGTCACATAGGCCAGAAGACTATGGAAAAGCCAGGATGGCTGCCCACCAGCTTTCTGGAGCCTACAGAATACTCTATCAGTGTGGACAACTGTCCTCAACTGGCAGACTAGGTGATACCACCATTTAGCAGCGTTTGGGGCACTGCTGGTTTGTCATTTGTAGAAACTTGTAGGACTTCTGAATCCAAACCCTATGAGCATAAAACTACCAATATGGCAGGCTCCCAGGGTAGCAGAAAAGCAGCAGAAATAACCACGCAACAACAATTACAACCAAACAGCACCAGCTAAATTTTATTGGGTACTGCTCATGTACAGTGCTAAGCACTTTGGCCTTAGCCAACAAACACTACAAGGTGGATCCTATTCTTTATCTTTATTACACAGATGGCAAACCAAGGCCAGGTGGTGTTACATGACTTGCCTGCAGGTGCTGGCTGGTAAGTGGTTGCACTGGGTCAGTGGAAGTCCCCCTAGCTGCAAAGCTTGGATGATTAGTTAGTAACGACTGGGTCGTCTCAGATGCAGGTTCTAAGAAGTCAGTCACCTTGTTTGCATGGGTCATTCTTGTATTTCATCCAGGTCTGGGTTTCTGGGGACTCCCAAAGCCTGAAGCTGTATCCATTAGGGACAGGCTCTGGGGCTTCCAGGGATAATGGTGCCCTGGGGTGGTGCTCACGACACAGGGAGCTGAGGGCTTCCAGGAAGAGCTTTCTGAAGGAGGAGGACACAACATTGTACAGGACAGGGGTCACTGCTGAGCTGACATAGAAGAGTGTGTTGGTCACCATGTAGAAGTAGTGATAGAAATCGTAGAGTGCACTGGAAGGGAAACCCAGAGGCCTGGTTAGAGGACTGTTGGCTCCTCACAGTGCGGCCCCTTCCTGCTGCAGAATGCCTGACTCTCCTGTAGGACAGGTGAGGAAGGAAGCACGATGGGAATTCAGCAAAAGCTCTCTCACCATCTGGTGCTCTTGCTGATATTTGCCATCCCTAGCTGTGGTTTCCAATCACCTACACAGCGAAGGCAACACATGCTGATGACAGGGTCCATCTATCCAGGCCACTGAGATGCTGCAGGGTATGGTCAAGCAGATGAGGCTTCACTAAGAAGTGAAAGTCTATGGGCTGGGTGTGGTGACTCATGCCTGTAGTTCCAGCTACTCAGGAAGCAGAGTTAGGAGGATCACCCACAATTCAAGGCTGACCCAGGCAAAAATGCAAGACACTATCTGAAAACAAACTAAAGCAAAAAGGGTTGGGGGTGTGGCTTAAATGGTAAAATGTTTGTCTAGCAAGTGTGAGACTCTGAGTTCAAACCCCAGTACTACTAAAAAGAAAAAGGAGCAAAAGTCTTTCTGAGAAGCCCCATCTTTGTTTCAGAGACTGTCTGGAGTGGTCAGGGTTTGGCATGACCACACATATGCACACGTGCATGTAAGGGGTAATGGCAGGTCCTGAGAAGGACGCCACCATTGACACAGCTGTGTTCTTTGAGGCGATGTGGAATCTGTCCTCTGCTGGATACTTGCCTTCTCCTTACGATAGGGGCGTAGTGATCTCCAAAAAGAAGAGAATGAATGGTCTCTGTCAAGGGGTGTATGTCTTGGTCTCAGCCACATCTTGAGGTGTTCTCCCTCTCTTTGGAATAACATAGCCTTTGCCCCACTCTCTAGCACTGAAGGCTTTTCTCCATCTGGGAGTCAGGGTGCCCATAGCCCTGACATGGGCCTTACCATATCAGAGATGTTTCTAAGAGAATACTCTGTTCCCCATCCCCAGCTGGGAGATTTTGAGAATTCAAACTGGACAGGACTAGCTGGACAGAGGGCCTGGCAACTGAGAGCCCCTCTGGAGAGCAATGGAGAACCCACTAGGGCGAGCCTAGTGGGCCTCTGTCCATGGCCAGGCCTGCTCATCATACTTACTCAGTCCAACCATCATCAGAGACGTAGCAGTACATGAGTCTGCGGACATGGTACGGCAGCCAGCAGATGACGTACACGGCCACAATGGCTCCTGCAGGAAGGGAGAAAGAGGGAGGGAGGGAGGAGAGAGAGACAGAAAGAGAGAGGGAGGATGACAGAAAGCAGATACATTCTCAGTTCTGCCTCCTCCAAGGGAGCAAGAGAGGAAGATGGCCAGCGTGGTAACAGCACTTCCTGTGACTTGGTCTTGGAGCCAAAGGGTGGGACGAGACCTTTGAGGTTATCTCATACATCCCCATCTGCACCTGACATCAAACCTTGCTCTACCCAGTCCTCTGGGGGCACTGTCCACTTCATCCACGACCTAGATACAACGTGCTTCCAGCAAACCTGTCAGTCACTGGAATACACTCCCTACTCAGGGACAGATAGACAGCCCCACCTGGTTGTCTAACTGCATATACATAAGTGTCTTTCCTGTCTTGCCAAATCTCTCCCTGCTTTACTCCTTGTTCTGATGGATTGATGGCACCACCATCCATTCCACACTCAAATCACAAACTAAAGATACTTTTTTTTTCTATTCCCTCCTATATCACACCTACTTAGGAGTTCCTTCTCATCCCTCCTCTGCATTCCTTCCTCATCCCCACTGCTACTGCTCCACAAGGCTCCTGTCTTCTTTCCATTGGACTCAGACAACTGGCTCCTAACCTTTCACCCCTACCTTCTCCTGCCCTAACCCTTCCCCAACCTGCCAACCCATTCTAGGGACGGTGTGGCCCCTTGAGCAACAATGTCAACTACTAGCCCAGTAAAAACGCAGAATCTTGGGCGCACTCCAGACCTACTGAGTCAGAATCTCTGGCTAGGGTTCCACAGTCTGTGTTTTACAGTTACAATTCTGGATCATTTTTACCCACACTAAAGTCTGGAAGCACACCAAAGTTTGGCCCATCCTCCAAAGAGCTGCCGAGGCAATAAATCTCCAATCTTCTGTCACTCCTGGACATTGACCCTTCGACAGTGGCCTGTTGCTATAAAATGAAATTCAGTACCACCATGTGCTGACTTAGTGCTACTTGTCACACTGCATCGCACTAAGTCCTCAGACCTCCATCCATGCACTAGACCTTGACAGTGCTGAGAGCACAGATCTGCCTCCCAGTCCTCCCAGATTCGAGCTAGTGCCTGGGGCGTAGCAGATACTTGGAGAGGACTGCTTTCCTGTGCTGTTTGAGGTTTTTCTTACAAGACCAAATTGTCCTTGATCTTTGCAAAAACAAGCAAGCAAACAAATCAGTGTTGTAGGGAGGAAAGGGGAGAATTGATGGGAAACTGGATTTGGGGACCCAGCCAGTCTGAGAGTTTACAATTCTAAGGCCTTCACTGCAGCTGCCTCTGGTCCTAATCCACATAGCCTGACTTCCTAAAATTCAGCCAGGTCTCTGCTTGTCTGTGTGTCTGGCTCCTTGGTGCAGATCTGGAATTCCACCAACAGAATTCCCATTCTTTCCTCTAGCTATTCCACTGTGCCTTTGTGGAAAACCTTTTGTTGAGTATACAGCTCCCCTGTGACAAGAAAAAGGAGGCCTAGAGAGAGATAGTAACTTGCTAAGGTCACTTGGCCAAGGACTAGTGGAGGCAGCCCTAGCAGCTGGGCCCTCTCCCTTAGGGCAGTGTGACAGAGGACTTAACTGAGAACCCGGACGCTGTGCTGGAGGCTGTGGATCCGGCTGGCATCCTTGTGTCTCACCAAGCTTGCCTGGCCCCCTAGGGAGAGGGTCTTCCTCCATGCGATGAAGCCCAGGAGACCCTCCTCACTCAGTAGCTCCAGGCGGCTGGGAATGGAGTTGCCTGGAGCAGAAGGTGATAGCACCTGGGAGGAGAGGGCCATCAGGTGGTTCACGGTGACCCCGTTCAGGAAAGCAGTTAGAGCCAAAGGGAGCACGAAGGACACCAGCACGTTCACCTGTGGAGGTAATTCCAAGAGTCTTGGTGACAGCACTATGGACCTGTGACTGTGATCATAAGACTCTACTCCAGGCCCAGAATTGCACCAGAAGTGGGGAACAGAAGGACTAGAGGAGCTGGGCATGGTAGCATATGCCTGTGATCCCACACTCAGGAGGCAAGTTCCAGGTCAGCCTGGACTACATAGCAAGATCCTGTCTCAAAACAAAAGGGCTAGAAGATAAGGCTGAGGAAAGAATTAGAAAGTCCAGACAGCAATGAAAGTAGAAAATGTAAGAACATCTGGAATTAGTTTAGAATGCTCATTATCAGTTAAAGAAAAAAAAAAGGGATTTTAGAAAGGAAAAGGAATAGAGAAGATAGTGGAGTGGATTATGGGAAAACCCCACATTTAAGAAAGTTTTCTTAGAATTGAGGGATTTGAGCTTTAGATTGAAAGGCTGCCTGAGTGCCTAGAACAATGGCTGGAAATGGAGCCAAACTGTGGCTTGTTCTCAGGACTTTTAGCATCAGGGGATAGAGGATCTAGAAAGCCTTCTAAGAGATAAAACATAGAAAGGGTGGGAATTAAAATGACACTGACTTCTTAAGTCAATGATGGAAGCTAGAAAATAATGAGGAATGCTTCACAATTTGTGGGAAAATGATTTCACCTTATGCCGTGAGAATAAAAGAAAACAGTTTCTGACCTGCAAATTATCAATTTTTATTTTTGCCTTCTGTAGGTTTTTTCTCAGGTCTCAGGAGGCTACAGAACATATGTTTGATCAAAATAAGGTTAGAAACCAATATAGAGGGAGATCTGGGGGTTCAAAATCAGGGCATCCATCAGAGGAGCCAAGGAGCAATGGAAGAGCCCTGTGCAGTAGCCTGAATTGCAACAAGTAGAATTGGAGAAGGAGAGGAGGGACTCCTGGGGAGACTGAAAAGAAGGAAACTAAGAAGGTGAATATGGTTGATGTACTTCCTATACAAGAATAAATATAGAATTTTAAAACCTGTTGAAATCATCATAAGAAGGGGACTAAGGTAGAAAGGAGAAAAATAGAGGAGATGAACCAATTTGGGTTATAATACATTTACACATGGAAAGGTCACAGCAAAACCCTGTATAGCTATCTTATTCAAACAAAAATGTCTTTTTTCAAAAATGGAGAACAGACAAGTAAAACAGGTCCTGTGCAGGGGACTTGGCACCAGTGGGAGGGGAGGACATAAGGAAAGGGTGAAGGAAGGTGAATGTGGTGGAATATTATGTAGTCATGTATGAAAATGGAAAAATGAAATCTGTTGAAACTGTTCCAGGAATGGGGGAGGAGGATAAAGGAGAATGATGGAGGGGTGAGTTCAACTATGATATATTGTAAGTGCTTTGGTGAACGTCACAATGTACGCCCAGTTTAAAAAAAAAAACAGAAGTAAAAGCTGACATTTGTAGGCTATGTGGTGAGTCTGAACATACCGAAATGTCACTAATGCTGCTAGTAAAGAACTTGAAAATGAACTAGAAAAGAGCTCATAGAATACTAAGCAAATGAAAGAAGAGACCCACGTTCGTAACTTCAAGGAAAACAAAGGTTGCATTGGGACAAAAATACAGTAAAAATGTACAACCTGGCTCATCTGTGAAGAACTTTTACATAGGCACAGTTCTATAAACGCTGACCGTAAATCTTGGGAAATACAATGACAGTGTGGGTGAGGGACAGGAACGTGAGCGAGCACAGGACTCGTGCCACAGGTAGAGGACAGCGGATTCAATTTAAAGCTGAGAAGTCAAGCAAGCAGGTTCTTTAGGAATAAGAACAGCAAGAGCCCAATGTAGATGTGCTGTTCTCTGTTAAAAAAGAGCACGAGAAAGGGCTAGTACTGGACGTTACAAGCCTTGATTTACTGTTTAGGGTGTGTGTGGGGAGCTGGGGCTGAACCTGAGACCTCCCACGTGCTGTGCACACACTCCACCACAGAGGCTCATCCTCAGCCCTTGATATTCTTGTCCTTAGGAAAAACAAGTTTATTACATGACAGCCTGTCTTGTAAATGTTGAATTTTACAAATCCAAAATATATGTGTTCTAGATTTTTTTTCCTTTTCAATTCTAAGGTTCTCTTACTTCTTTCCCTTCACAAACTAATTTAAAAAAAACTAGACAATATTTTAAGAAAATATTTAAGTTTGTACTTTAAAATAAGTATAAAATATCTGAACTGGGCACTGTGCCTTTCTAAGGAGTTGTCATTCATGGTTTGATGACAATCACGGTTTGATTGTCTCTCAGTGACAATCATTTCAGTTTGCTGAGGAGCCAAACAGGTTTATGTATATATATCAATTACAATACCTGCCACTTGGATTTCAGCTCTTTGTTTTTTCTCTCCTTTATCACCAGGTCCAGGTTTGGGTATGAAATCTGACAATCTTCAAAAATGTTACAGGAAGTGATCTCCTAAAAATGAAGGATCCTGCCTGGCCAGTTCTGAGGTGATTCTGTTTATAGGGCCTTCTGAAGCAAGCAGAGTGCTTTCTTTGGGTTTGTTTTAACCTGTCTTTCCATGTTGTAAAGCTACAGTTGGCACCTGAATTTCTTCTGAAATCCTTCATTAATGTTGAATGTTCAGAATTCTCTGTTAAATATGCATAAAATCCCATTAAACTGGATCCTCTGTCTAGCTTGGCATGGGGCTAAAGATTACTCATTGTCATTATAATAAATGCTGACATTGGTAGTTGTGCAAATACACACTCTGTAACCCATCTCTCAGTGGTTTGGGGATAGTGCCTTGCTCCAGTGAGCAGCTCTGGGCTGCACAGCAAGAATGTTATAGCTGCTGGATCCGGATCTACCAAAGGTCTCAAAGGCAAATGAAAAATCTCAGCAAAGCCTAGATCAGAAAGTTTGACTCTTCTTTGCTCAGGACCTTCACCCATAAGAAAGATATTGGCTGGTTCCATATTCCTGTGCTACATTCAGTTAACAGAAAGCAGTGAATCCCACCCAGGATCTGATGAAAAATGACTTCCCTTTGCCCTAAGGTAAATGAGCTGGCTTCTTGCTTCTGTTAGTAGCAATGTGGCAGTACATGGCAGGTCCAAGGTCATGCAGATGCCATGTTCTCTATTGGCACGAGGCAGAAACACTTGAAAGGGAAAGGGAGTTAGAGGTCAGGTTACTTTCCTCTCGGCTCTGGAGACATGACCCCAAGTGATGGCTCCCACTCACTGGACACCTCACTTCAAAGTCATAGTCTTAAGGGCTGAGGGGTGTGGTTCCTAAGTGGTAGAGTGCCTGCCTAGCGAGCACAAGGCCCTGAGTTCAAACCCCAGTACCTAAATAGATAAATACATGAAGTCACAGCCCACTGTCACAGCCTGAGTGGCTGGGGAACCAGGTCAGAAGGTTGCTTGAAGGCAGCAGCAGCCGTGGGGGGTCCCACAGTATCTACCAGAAGCAGTGGCACTAGATCAGTGGGACAAGAGGAACACACTGCCACCCAACAGATCCAAGGTACCAAGGGGCAGTGGGCCAGAGTGGGAGGAGCTCAGTGGAGACTTCCGTGGGAGGGAAGGGCCTATGGGCGTTCTTTCAGCTGGTCCTTCCCACTGCTGCTTGGGAGGCCACAGGGACAGCTACTGTGGGTTGCTCATGTTAACAGCACTCCCATATCCCTTTACTCCCAAGCCCATGGGCTCAAACAGCAATGCCTCTGCATTTTTAAAAGCGTACATGTGCAACCTGGATTAAAAACAAAAAGGTTTTTTTCAAAGGAAGAGGTACAGATGGCCAGTAAATACATGAAGAAGTGTTCAACTTCCCTGACTATAAAAGAAATGCAAATCAAAACTACACTAAGATTTCATCTCACACCAGTTAGAATGGCTATCTTCTATCACTGCTGGACAGCAGTGGCTCATGCCTATAATCCTAGCTACTCAGGAGGCAGAGATCAAAGGATTGCAGTTCAAAGCCAGCCCAGGCAAATAGTCTGAGAGACCCTATCTCAAAATCCCATTACACACACAAAAAAGGCTGGTGGAGTGGCTCAAGGTGTAGGCCCTGAGTTCAAGCCCCAGTACCACAAAAAAAAAAAAAAAGAGCAAAAACAATAACAAATGCTGGGGAGGATGCAGTGAAATAAAGAACCCTTATACATTGTTGGTGGGAATGCAAATTAGTACAACCATTATGGAAAGCAGTATGGAGATAAAAGTAGAACTCCCATATGGTCCAGTGATACTGCTCCTGGGTATATAACTAAAGGAATGTTAATCAGCATACAATAGAGACATTGGCACACCCATGTTTATTGCAGCACTATTCACAATAGCCAAGCCATGGAAACAACCCAGATGCCCTACAACTGATGAATGGATCAGGAAAATGTGGTATATATACATGGTCGAGTTTTACTCAGCCATAAGGAATAATAACAGCATGTGGTTTGAAGGTAAATGGATGCAACTGGAAGATACCATGTGAAGTGAAGTAAGTCAGGTTCAGAAAGATGAAGGCTGCATGTTTTCTCTCATACATGGAAGATAGATCCAAAAGATAAACATGTACACTAAAACAAGCATGATCATATATAAACTCAGATGTAGAACATGTTTGTAACAGTGGAAATACCTTATGGAACTCGTGGAAGGAGGGAAAGGAAAAGGGAATGATAGAGCGTCAACAATATCATAAAACATTTGTGAAGGTAGAGAATATAAGGATATATATTGAAAACTTCTGAAAAATGGGGGGTGGGAGGAAAGGGGTAAAGAAGAGCAATGGTGCTCAAAGTAAAGTAGGCTCACAGTGGGGATACATAGAGAAATCCCTTTGAACATCAACTTAGATGTTAATAACGAAAGACAGGACTATAAAATAGGTACAGTGTGTGTGTGGGGGGGGTATTTGTCCTGGGGGGGGTGAATGAAGGAGATTAAGGGGTAAGAGAGAGCAAAAGAAGGGTTGAATGGACCAAAGTAAAGTATACTTAAGGTGCAGATACATTGAGAACCCCCCCTTGAAGATCAACTTAAATATTAATAATGAAAGAGGACTATAAAGTAGGTACAGTGTGTGTGCATGTTGGGGGGTACTTGTGGGAAAAGGTGGGGTGAACGAAGGAGATTAGAGTGAGGGAACATGGTTGACGGACTTCATATATGAAACAGAACAAAACCTCTTGCAATCGCTTTAAGTAGGGCAGGAAGGGGTTGACGGGGAGAGATGGTAGAGGTGATTTAACCAATGTACAATGTAAGCCTATTCCGAATTGTCACATTGAATCCCCCCATACACCAAATTTATCCTAATAAAATTGTTTACAAATTAAAAAAATAATAAAGTCTGCCAATATCAAGTGAAAATAAAATAAAGTTTTAGTTGGGTGCCAGTGGCCTGTAATCCTAGCTACTCAGGAGGCAGCAATCAGGAGGATCGAGGTTTGAAGCCAGCCTGGGCAAATAGTTTATGAGACCCTATCACAAATAATTGTCTCATAATAAAGGTGGAGTGGTTCAAGGTGTAGACCCTGGGTTCAAATCCCATTACTGCAAAATAAATAAATAAATTAGTTAATCAAATAAATAAATAAAATGTTCTAAAAAATAAATCTAGAGAAGGTGCAGAGGTTTTCAGAAAAGACCCAGGGGTGGGGAAAGGGAAGGAAGTCATGAAGAGGCAGGGAGGAGTGGGTGATGTGAACAGAGCAGGGGAGAGGGGAGGAGGCAGGAGGGAAGTCAGGGAGAGAGTAGAGGGGCACAGTCCATAGACAGCAGCTCTGGTTAGGCCTCCTGTGAGTCAGGCACTGTATCTGGCTGGGAAGGAAAGTCAGAGATGAACTCTCAGGAAAACAAGTGGGAAGGGGAAGAAGGGCAAAACTTACAGAAGACATGTTATGCTATGCCCCCAGCACCTTCTCATGAGCACGTTAAGTCATCTAAATATGCTGGCACCATGCTCTCACCACACTAACAAACCTGTGTGGGAGATCATTAGCCATGGACATGCAAACGCAGCATCCAGTTGGGAGGACTCCTGGGAGCCGGGGAGCCTCTGATTTTAACCTGAGGTCCCAGGGTTGCTCCAGGTCCTTCTCTTGCCTGGTCTCTCCTAGTTGTGCTTCTATCATCTACAACACCCAGAGCCCTGACTTAAAACCAGCCTTTTCCTCCTCCACCATGGCTGAATTCTTTAGTTTCAGAGACAGGGTATAGAGTTTTAAATGCCAAATTCCTTTTAACATAGATCAATTGTAAACAAAGAATCGAATAAATAAATCTTCATCGGACATTTGGCCTCCTTGTCCCTAGAGGAAAATCCCCTATTCAAGGAACACTTGGATTGAACAGGGAAGGAGCCGCTCCACGGAAAACCCATGAAACAGGAACACATTGTCTGTTCCCATGGGTTCTCCTGATTTCTCCCAATTCAAAAGCAAGGCAGTGAGTGAGGCTTTTTGGATCCCTGCCTCGGTCCCCTAGAGACAATACAGGGGGCCACTGAGGAAGAAAGGGATTATTATGGGGGACCTGCCACCTGTACTAGACAAGACTTCCAGCTGCATGAGAAGAGCTTCACTTAAGGATGGGGCACTCCAGTCACCTACATGTCCCCCACCTGTCCTGATGTGCTTTTCAGTGCGCCCTCTTGCACCACCACGTGCTCACGCAGAGGACCCTCCCACATCTTCCACGTCCTCGTGGGCCGAGAAGGGGTCCTGGCTCAGCCCAGCTTTGGTCCTTTCGGACTCCCAGAAGACCCACTCCCTTACCTGGATGAGCACCTGGAGCGTGGCGCGGCTCACCAGCACGGTGCATACGCGCGAGGCGGGCTCGGGCTCCCCGGCCGCAGTCTGCAGCTCGTGCTTCTGCCCCATGATGACCGCCATGGGCAGGGCCAGGCCGAGCGAGGCGGCCCAGACCAACGACAGCAGGCGCCGGGTGCGGCGCGGCGTGAGCAGGCTGCGGGCGCGCAAGGGCTGGCACACGGCCAGGCAGCGCTCGGCGCTCAGGCTGGCCACGCTGAGCACCGTGGCGTAGGCGCACAGCTCGCGCACGAAGTAGTAGCCTCGGCAGCCCAGGTCGCCGAAGACCCAGGGGTAGTGGAACCACACGAAGTTGTAGAGCTCCATGGGCCCGCTGACCAGCAGCAGCAGCAGCGCCGAAAGCGCCAGGCTGAGCACGTGGTAGCGCAGGCGCCCGGGGCGGCCGGCCCGCGCCTTCAGCACCACGTGCACGGACAGCGCATTGCCTGCAGTGCCCAGAGCGAAGATAAGCGAGTAGAGCGCGGTGAACAGCACCTTGGCCCACAGGCGCGTGTCCACGCCCAGACGGGCGTCCAGGCTCAGCCCTGGGCTGGGACTGGGCCTCGGGGGCCGCAGGCTGCTGATCTCCATCCCGCTCCCGTGGCCTGCGCTCCCTCCCTCTCGCTGCCCAAAGCCTGGGCCAGCTGCCCGGTTAGCGCCTCCCCCTCTCTGGGAACCTTCAGAACTGGGAAGACACTCCCCTGATGGGTGTTTCTGAGCAAACGCAAGACCAGAGCGCAAGCCTGTTAGTGCTGTTCACACTTCTCCATTTGGTTCAACTAGGAAGCACGTGCTGATGGAAAGGGGACTTCTGTTGGAGCCGATGGCTGTGAATCGGGCAGTCTTCACTTACCAGCTGTGTGCACTTGGGCTTTTTTTTTTTTTAAACCTCTCTGAAGCTATTTATGCAATGTAAAAATACTATCTTCACTGCAGAATTTCTGTGTAGGTTAAATGAGTGACTTAGTGCACAGGTTCCTGATTTTAGCAAACACAGTCATGAAGCTGGTGCCTTGTGCCTTGCCTTGTGATGTGCGCTGTTTGTGTGCGCAGTCCTGAGATGGCTGGAGGAAGATGGCTAGGCTTCAGCGCTTGGCCACCGTCATTATTCTTGCTCGTGGCTATTTCGTGCTGCACCAACCCTCAGGAATGCCTTTATCACTGACAGATTCAACCTCCGGGCTCCACCCATCCTTTGAGATGTCATTCTCATGGAGCAGGGAGACGTGAGACGCTTGTGTTTAGCCTGTTTTAAAACTTTTCCCTGCTCTGTTTTCTAAGCTCATGTAGAGCAGGAAGGCCCTCTAGAGGCCTTGTCCTCTCACCTTGAGGACGCTTAGCATTCACTGGGGACAGAGTTGGAATTAGACCCAGGTCTCTTGACTTTGTTGTCTTCTGCAGTTGTTTTGGATAGGTTATAATTAGTTTAATCTTCATCTGGGTATACAACCATATCCGCATTGAAAGTGAGACAATTAAGTTTACTTTTGTTCTGCTCCTGTACTGAAAGGTTTTTGGGACTGGGTAAGTAAAATGAAACAACTCAATGACTTTATTGAATAGCTAGCTACACCAGAATTTTAGGACTCACCAGTAAGTAAGGCTGGATTCCTGGGCATGTTTGGTTTCTACTGAATTCATGTTGCTTTTTCAGAATGATAGGTTGAAAAATCATAAGTTAAACTACTGTAAGTTGAGGGCCATCTGTCAATGAAATGAATGATAGCAAGTGATACAAGGGACAGGATGGAGGAATTGGGAATTTTTTGTTACTGTAAAGTACTTTCGCCACCATGAAGTGGGTTGGTGTTTTTGAAAGTGGACATGGATTAATTGTAAATGTGTCTTGCCAACTGTAGGAAAACCACTAGAAGAAGAAGCAGAAGGAGATGGAGAAGGAGGAGAAGAGGAAGAATTACTGACATGTTAAGAAAGGAGAAAAATTGAGTTTTATAAAATGTCTGAATAGGACCATGAACACCAGGAAAAATGTGGAAGACAAAGAAGGAAAAAGAACAAGGGCAAAATATACAAAAGAATTACAAATATAGTAGGTAGTAATACAACTACATCAATAGTCACTGTAAAAGTCAGTGGTTTAAATATACCAATTGAAAGACAGAGATTGTCAACATGAATCAAAGAACAGGACCTGTTTGTGTGTATAAGAAACCCACTTATATATAATGATAGATAGATAGAAAGATTTAAAGATTTAAAGTAAGGGGATGAAGAAAGGTGTACCACACAAAAACTAATAAAAAGAAATCAAGAGTAGCTATGTTAATTTCAAAAAGAGAACATTTCTAGCAGGTCAATTTTCAGTGATAAAATAGGGCATTACCAAAGGAAAAGAGATCAAAGTGATCAGTACTTCAAGGAGATATAGCAATACTTAACGCATATGTACCTAACAGCAGAGCATCAAACTACGCAAGGCAACGATTCTCTTTTGGTACCCAAGTGTGATGATTGAGCGTTTACGCCATTGCATGACATGTGCCTCCCTCAGACCTCTTTGCAACATTGGCCCATCCGACATGAAAAAGAAAAAAAGCTATGAGACAAAAATTGACAGAACTAAGGGGAAATGGATGGACCCAGGAACATATTTGGAGACTTTAAAACTCCTGAATCAGAAAGAACAGATCCAGTATGCAGAAAATTAGCAAGGGCATAGTTGAACTTAATAGCACTGCCAATCATCTAGATATAATTATCATCTATAAACTATGCCATCCAGCAGTCACAGAGCACACATTCCTTTTCAGCTTAAGTAAAACTTTCATCAGTGTAGAGCACATTCTGGGCCATAAAACATGCCTTAACAGATTTACAAGAGCAGGAATCACCCAGTGTCTTCTCTCAGACCACATGGCATTAAACTTGAAATTAATAACAGAAAGATAGTGGGGAACAGAGAGATACCTGGTCCTTTTCACCACTGCCTCTCAACATTATACTGGGAATGCTTGCTAACCTGATAAGCCTAGAAAATATGATAAAATGTCAAGAAATTGGGAAGGAAGAACTAAAACTGTCTTTGTTCATAGATGGCATGATTATCTATGTTGAAAAATTTGAAAGAATCAACCAAAAATCCTCATAGAATTAGTAAGTGATTATACCAAGGCTTCAGAATACAAGGTTAATAATACAAAAGTCAATTGTTTTCCTGTATACCAGCAATGAACAGGTGGAATTTTAAATTAAGACACAGTATCATTTATATTAGGACTGCCTCCAAGTGAAATACTTAGGTTTAAATCCAACAAAATATAGACAAGATCTATATAAGGAAAGCTATAAAACTGATTAAAGAAGTCAAAGAAAAGCTAAATAAATGGAGAGCTATTCCACGTTCATGGATAAAGAGGCTCAGTATTGTCCAGAGGTCAATTCTGTTCAACTTATGTATAGATTCAATGCAATGCTAATCAAAATTTCAGCCCAGCAAGTTATTTTGTGGATACAAGCTGGTTGTAAAGTTTGGCAAAAGGCCCATAATAGCCAATACGAGACTGAAGGAGAGGAACAAAATTGGAAGTTATGATCCAACTTTAAGACTGATAGTAATGGTATAGACATCTCAAAAAGATCAAATAGATCAAAAGAACATAAGAAAGAGCCCAGAAATAGACACACAAATGTGATCAACTTATCCTTGACAGAGGAGCAAGGGCAATACCACGGAGAAAGACACTCTTTTCAAGAAATGGTGCTAGAACAATTGGACATCCACACGCAAAAAGCCAAGTCTAGACACAGACCTTCCACCCTTCACAAAAATGAGCACAAAATGAATCCCAGACCCAAATGTAAAATGTAAACTCCCAGAATGTATCATGGAGAAAGCCTAGATTATCTTACGTCTGACAATGACTTTTTGATGTAACACCAAAGGGACAATCCATGAGAGGAGGAATCGATAAGCTTGACTTCACTGAAATAAAAAAAGTTCTGCTCTGGGATAGATACCATGAGGAGAAAAAAAGACAGGTCACAGTCTGGGAGAGAATATGTGTAAAAGATGTATCTGACAAAGGATCTTTATCTAGAATATACAAAGAACTCTTAAAACTTAGTAGAAAGAGAACAAGTGACTGGTTTAAGAATAGGCCAAGACCTATGTCACAAAGAAGGTATACAAATGGCATATAAGTATATGAAAAGATACTCCATGTTATATGTCACCAGGGAAATGCAAATTAAGACAGGATCATGATATGTCTATTAGAATGCCCAAAATCTCGAGCACTGACACCACCATATGCTGGTGAGGATATGGAACCACAGGAACACCCATTGATTGCTACTAAAAATGAAAAATGGGGCTGGGGCCATAGTTCAGTGGTAGAGTATTTGCCTAGCATGAGTGAGGCCCTCAGTTTGATCCTCAGCATCAAAATAAGGGAAGAAAAGAAGGGAGGGAGGGAGAGATGGAGGGAGGGAGGAACGGAGGCAAGGAGTAAGAAAGAAAAAATGATCCAGTCCTTTGGATGTCAGTTTGGCAGTTTCTCACAAACTGTCCTGCAGTCATCCTCCTTGATATTTATCCAAATGACCTCAAAATTTATGTTCATATAAAAGCCTGCACATGGATGTTTATAGAAGCTTTATTCTAATTGCCACACTTAGAAGCAACCAAGAAATGACCTCAAAATTTATGTTCATATAAAAGCCTGCACATGGATGTTTATAGAAGCTTTATTCTAATTGCCACACTTAGAAGCAACCAAGATGTTCTTCAGTAGGGAGGTGGATAAATAAGCTACGTTACATCCAGACAATGGTCTATGTTCAGTGCTAAAAAGAAATGAGCAACCAGGTCATGAAAACACATGGAGGAAACTTAAATGCATATTACTAAGTGAAAGAAGCCAATCAGGAAAGACCTCATCCTATATGATTCTAACATATGGCATTTTGGAAAAGGCAGAACCAAGAATACAGCAGAAGGACTAGTGGTCGCCAGCGATCAGGAGGGAGGGAGGAAGCAGAAGAGTTTCTAGGGCACTGAAACTGTTCTGTCTGATTCTAAAATGTTGGGTACATTTTTGTACATTTATCAAAACCCTGAGAATTACAACACCAAGAGTGAACCCTTGTGTACACTACAGGTTTTAGGTGACGATGATGTGTCTGTGTAGGTTCACTGATTGTAACGACTGGGATGCTCTCATGGGGGGATGTGGATAGGAGAAGTGGGGGTGGAGAGGCTGTGCATTTGGGGGAACAGAGGTATATGACATTCTCTGTACTTCCTGCTTAATTTTTCTGTGAACCTAGAACTACTCTATAATATTGGTTTCTTTTCTTTACTGGGAGTTGAACTCAGGGTCATGCACTTACTTTCCGGGCAGGCGCCCAACCTCCTGAGCCAGCCCTTTTTGTTTTGGTTATTTTCTAGATAAGCGCTCACTTTGTGCCCGGGCTGACCTGGACGGTGATCCTCCTATTTGTGCTTCCCTGTGTAGCTGGGATGGAGTTATGCAGCACTGTGCCCAGCTACTGGTTGAGACAGATTGTCAAGAACTTTTTGAGCAGGCTGTCCTGGAACCTCCATCCTCTCGATCGCTGCCTCCCAGGTAATTAGAATTATAGTCACTGTGCCTGGCCTATCAGATACATGTTTATTCATTTTGTCAAA